TTGATTGTGTGGATCACAACAAATTGTGGCAAGTTCTTAAAGAGATGGGAGTACCAGACCATCTCATTTGTCTCTTGAGAAACCTATATGCGGGTCAAGAAGCAACAGTGAGAACCGAACACGGAACCACTGATTGGTTCAAAATTGGAAAAGGAGTCGGGCAAGGCTGTATACTGTCGCCCTGCCTATTTAACTTATATGCAGAGCACATCATGAGAAAGGCAGGGCTAGATGAATCAAAAGTTGGAATTAAGATTGCCGGGAGAAATATCAACAACCTAAGATATGCAGATGATACCACTCTACTGGCAGAAAGTGAAGAGGAACTAAAGAGCCTCTTGATGCGGGTGAAGAAGGAGAGTGCAAAAGTTGGCTTGAAACTCAACATTAAGAAAACCAAAATCATGGCATCCGGCCCTCTCAATTCCTGGCAAATAGATGGGGACGAAATGGAGGTAGTGACAGATTTTATTTTTCTGGGCTCCAAGATCACCTCAGATGGGGACTGCAGCCAAGAAATTAAAGACGCTTGCTCCTGGGGAGGAAAGCTATGGCAAATCTAGACAGCATACTAAAAAGCAGAGACATCACCCTGCCAACAAAAGTGCGTATAGTCCAGGCCATGGTTTTCCCAGCTGCAATGTATGGCTGTGAAAGTTGGACCATAAGAAAGGCTGAGCGTAAAAGAATTGAGGCCTTTGAACTATGGTGCTGGAGAAGACTCCTGCGAGTCCCTTGGACTGCAAGGCGTTCAAACCGGTCAGTCCTAGAAGAGATCAACCCTGACTGCTCTTTAGAAGGCCAGATCCTGAAGTTGAAACTCAAATACTTTGGCCACCTAATGAGAAGGAAGGACTCACTGAAAAAGGGCCTAATGCTGGGAAAGATTGAGGGCAATAGAAGAAGGGGACGACAGAGAATGAGATGGCTGGATGGAGTCACTGAAGCAGTAGGTGTGAACTTAAATGGACTCCAGAAGATGGTAGAGGACAGGAAGACCTGGAGGAACATTGTCCATGGGGTTGCGATGGGTCGGACACGACTTCGCAATTAACAACAACAAGGGATCTATCCTGTTTGAAATTGCAGTGAATAACATAAGCAAATACTTATCACTTTATAAACTAAAACTTTTGAAGTTGTAACCGTGAAAGAGTTTAATAGTTTAACTGCTCTGGCTCAGTGTAGATAGATAAGTTTAATAAAACCCTTGTGGAAATTTGTCAGCATATCACTCTTTTCACTGCTGCTGAAACAGGGTTTTTTAAAAAAATGTCATGGGAGTTGGAATAAATACTATACTTAACTTTTATAAACTGTTTATTTCTTTTAGATATGAATGAATACATTTAGGTCTTGTACATACATAAATGACAGGTGCTTTAGAAGTTGGATATTTCTTCATTTTGATTTTAATTATTATAAATTATTATCATAACAGTATATTTATTTGTAAAATATGAGGTCCCTTTATTATTGCAGTGTTCTGCCAACCATTACTGAATGTACCTTAAGTACCTAATTTTCTGTTTAATAGCATATTATGGCAAAAAAGTTGATATGAAACTAATTCTTTATAATTGCAGTATTTAATGTGCATTATCCCCAATTCTACAGAACTTGATAAACTAACTTTGCAGCAACTAGTGTTGGACATTTTAATCTATTCAAGAAAAATAATTCTACAATTCTGATATGTTCCATGATTTTTAATTTTTTAATTTTTACATATTGTTTTTACATATTAACATTTTATTGTACACTACCCAACGTCCCCCCTGAGGGATATGGTTGATTAAAAAATGTGAAAAATAAAGGAAATAAATAATTACTTATTAATGACCAGGATGATGGGACATATTAGGAGATCTGTCTACTACCAAGGTTGTCAGAATCAGATTGCAATCTAATCTTGACAGATTGGGAGAATGGGCTGGAAAGGACAAAATGTTTTTTAATAGGGAGAACTATTAAATACTACATTTAGAGAAAAAATGTAGGACATGCATAGAAGATGAAGGATCCATGGCTACATTTGACAAGGATTATGCCAGTGATGGCGAACCTTTTAGAGACTGGAGTGCCCAAAAACTGGCCCCGCCCCACCTGCTGCAGGACCACTTGCCGCCTCTAGGGCCTGCAACAGATCACCCAGGCAGCTCAGCAGCGCTATGGCGGTCACGCCCTCTGCCCGCGCCCTGAAGCCTCAACTGTGCAGGGTGGGGTGTGAGGGCAGAGTCTTGTCTATGCTGCCGGCTGCCATGTCCTTGGCTGCGCTGCTCCGCGTAGGCCATGCTCAGGGGCGACTCTCCTTCAGGGGGGCTGCTGGAGAGGAGGGGGTCACGGGGGAGGCAAGGCTGGGGCAATGGCATGTGTGCCCACAGAGAGGGCTCTGAGTGCCGCCTCTGGCACCTGGGCCATAGGTTCGCCACCACTGTATTATGCTATTTGACAACAAGCTGACATGAAAAGTATGAGACAGCTGCTACCGTAGAAGATGAATGCAGTTCTAGGCTGCATTAAAAGAAGTGCTGTGTCAAAGACAGGTGAAGTTATTGTTTCTCTCTACTTGGTACTGGTGAGATCACTTCTGAAATACTATGTACAACTCTGGTCACCCCATTTTCAGAAGGATATTGACATGTTGGAAAGGGTTTAGAAGAAGGCAGATGATATAGAGACTCACAAACATGCGGTGTGAGGATAGGCTAAAGGAACTTGGGATGTTCAGTATGAACAAAAAAAAATGCTTAGGGGACACATGATAACTAGGCTCAGGTACATAAGGGGAAGCAGCAAGGAAGATGGGTCATGAACAAGAATGAGAGCCAATTTGGTGTTGCCATAAAGGTGCTTGTCTAGAAACCGGAAGATTATGAATTTTAGTCCTGCCTGAGGCATGAAAGCTGGTTGGGTGACTTTAGATTAGTCCAGGGGTAGGCAATCTTGTCTCTTTTATGACTCGTGGACTTCAACTCCCAGAATTCTTGAGCCAGCATAAGTCATAAAAGAGACAAGGTTGCCTACCCCTGGATTAGTCCAAGGTGGTTGTTGTGGGGAAAATAGGAGGAGGAAGGAGATGTGTTTGCCACTGTGAATTACTTAAAAAGAAATAAAGATGGGATTAAAATAAACTAATAATTTAAATCTAATAACTATTTTCATGACTACAGAATTAGGACCAGATATAATGAGTGTAAGTTATAAAAATCTGGATTTCACTTCAACATAGGAAAAAACTTCCTGATAATAATATAGAACAGTCTATTTATGGAAAATATGGGTCCTCCGACTCTAAGGATTTTTATGAAGAGAATTAACAAGCTACAGATCACAGATGCTTTAAAAGGTTTTCCTGCATGCTGAAAGTTGCACTAAATGATCTTTATGAAGACTTCCAATTCTACTGATCTAAGATTCTATACTTTACAAAGAGAGGTATTTTAACATTATAGTAGTAGATTGGAATTGATAATAACCTTTCATTTCTAAAATGAGGATTTATTCTAGAGATTTTATTGAAATGGTCAACCCTGGAAAGCTAAGCTAATAATTTGAGAAAACTGTTATTTGGGATAAAATTTTGCCATTTGTCTGAATAAGTATTTGTAAAAATTGCTGTGCTTTTGGGGACCTTCCATAAAGCTGAACAGATCATTAGACCTAAACTTGGTTATAGTTCAAACGCCAATGAAATTACAAAATGATTTGAGGAATTATTGCTCCTCTGCCCCATCATCTTCCCAAGATTCTTGGGAGAAAAAGATGGCACTTGTGAGATGATGCATGCTTTCTGAGATCCTTTGCAGATTACCTAAGTAATAGGTAAATGATTTTTCTTTTAAAGTAATACATTTTTATAATTAATTATATTAGCTGTAATATCCCATTATCTAGCCAGGGAGAAATGCATGAAGAATGAGTTTCTGCCTGCACAGGCAATACAGATGCAAATGCACATCTGGATATATATACGGTAAGCATATGCTACGATGGAGAATATATTTATATGCTAAGAATCAAATGAAATAGAGTTGGAAGAAATGGACAGTTGGAGATCATTAAATTCATCAACAGTTAGTTACTATTATTTGTTATTAGTTTCTGTTTCACTGAAAGAAAATTCTGTTTGATCTCTATGAAAACGATCGGGAGAGCTATACATAGCTCATATGGGGCCTATTAGACTGGCTGAAAAGCTCTTTTGATGCAGGCACATATTCCTACATGTAACTTCCAAGTCAGATATTTTGTGGCTGGTGGGAATAATTATAGAATTTTTACATATGTGGTGGGTGCCCTCACAGAAGTCTTCATGGGGGGGTAGGGGTAGGATAGTCATCAAACCAGCTGCCATGATGGGCATGGGCAATCATAAAACCCCCACTTATCAGTCAACTGAATGACTGATTTTCTTCTCCATTCCTTCTGGCCTCCCAGCTTTCTTTTGCGTTATCCATTTAAAATTTGTACCTTTTCAAACAAGGCATTGTTTTCCTATAACTTTTATTGGCTAAGAATGTTTATGGGGTCCTATTATCTAGAAGCAGTACCATATAAATTAGATACATAAATTATAATATTAGTTGCCAGAACTTTGTTTTTCAGCTTGCCAGATTCTTTTTTTTATAATAAAAAGAATATAATAAAAAAATAAAAATTGGGTAGGACAGGGAGCCTAACAGATGCAAGTGAACTATTACTGGGCACACTGAGCTGAATTGTCTCAGCATGCCCTGGTTGACATAAATATTAATAGTAAATGACAAACTTCAATCAACAAAACAATGTCCACCAATTAAAGACAGAAGATGAGGTTATATTCATATTCATATATTCATATTTTTGGAAGAAACTATATTATAAAAGAACTAAATGTAGGGGTGGAGAGAAAATAAATATGTCCAAAGTTCATCTTTTACAATATAAACATTTTAAATATATAATGCAAAAAATAAATAATACACACATATATTATAAATGTTTAAATAAATACATACATTTATTTTGATACTGATATCATGGAATCTGAAGAATTTTGACGAGTTCTTGAGAAGAAGGAAGATGTAACAGCAGTTCCTGCTCCCAAAGTAATACCTTGTAGAAATACATCACAATTTGATAATAACACTCAGCTGACTTTTTCTTATCTGAAAGGATAAGCAAAGTCTGATTGAGTTAGTACATGAAGGAGAGACCACCAGGAGATAACAAGACTGTAGGCTAAATTAGGAAGTTGAAAAAACATGACAGAAATGCCTTCCACATTGCTGCTAAGAAAACTATAAGCTAAAAAAAAATAGTTGTAAGTTCCTTCCATTCATCTAGAGCACAAAAAAGGAAAAGGCTCACAATACTGATGTGAGGTTGTAAGAGAAGAAAAGAGAGCTTTAGGACATCCAGTCCCAGCATTTACCTTATCACTAGAGTACTAAGAACAGAACACTCTTAATAGGCAGAGGAGCATCACTACTGAACCAAACTGTGATCTTTACATTTTCAAGCCATGGGCATGGAGTGATGTGTTTGGTTTTTCATTCTGTTTCCAAACAAACAGGAGTTTTTACTTCATATTCCTTTCTAAAAAATAAGACCCAACGTTCATTTTTTTCTTTCAACTCTCAACTGTTACACATGTCACTAGTATGTACCCTGCAACAGTGGTGGGATTCAAATATGTGAACAACCAGTTCTCTGTATGGATGCCGCTTCCGGAAGTCTGTTCTGGGCCTGGGTAACAAACAATTAGCTACCGGTTCTGCTGAAGTTGTGGGAATCAGCTGAATCCCACCACTGCACTGTGAGCTTTCATATATTATGTTAATTAGGTAGGAAACAACTCACAAATGTAGGATTATTATGAAATCAACTGTGCAGTGCTAAGGTTATATTCCCTTTAAATCCTTACAGTACATTTTAAAATAGAAAAAAATGTGGTATAGTATAATCCAGTGATAACAATGTTTCAAAGACTATGTAAGCTGCAGCTAAGCAATGATAGCTTGTACATTGTTTTGCACCAGAGGTTAGCCAATACACACTGAGAAATTGTGATGCTCTTCCCAAAAACACTTTTCCCGTTTCATAAGTTGGCACAAAATCAACCCATTGTAAGATTTATCCAATTAGGCCAATTTCAGATATAATAATTCTATTATATAGGTGTCAGGTGGCACTCGGTTGATAGCCTGACTCACAAAAAAATAGTATATGAATACCAGCCATTATAATATTCCTTTTATTGGTTGGTAATTATATCCCCAATTCATCTCATATTATTTAATATATAATGTAGTTGCCCATTACTACTGGTACTTAGTAGACTACTGAATATACAGATCATGTAATAGTCTACTGCAGTGGTGGAGAACCTATGGCACGCGTGCCAGAGGTGGCACTCGGAGCTCTCTCTGTGGGCACACATGAGTTGCCCCAGCCTCACCTCCCCCGCGACTCTCTCCTTACGAGCAGCCCCCCTGGAGGAGAGTCACCCCCGAGTGTGGCCCACGCGAACCAGCGCAGCCAAGGACATGGCAGCCAGGCAGCATAGACAAGACTCTGCTCTCACGCCCCATCGCGTACAGTTGATGCTCTGGGGGGTGGGCAGAGGGCATGGCCACCATGGTGCTGCTGGGCTGCCTGGGCGATCTGCGGCAGGCCCTGGAGGCAGTGAGTGGCCCTGCGGGCAGGTGTGGGGTGGGTGGAGCAGGGGTGGGCAGGGGGTAGAATGGGGCGGGTCCAGTTTTTGGGCAATCACTGGTCTATTGAATAAGGGTAATCTATCAGAATTTTCAAACCTGGCCCCTTCCAGATGATATCTGGATGCTGTCTCAGAATTTTGAGAGTTTCCCTCTTAAGGAAAATTAAGGGGAAAATGTCCTATTGGGTAAACTACTGGAGTAAGTTTCAATAAAAAGTTAATTTGCTTTTCATCTACTTTGTGCTAATTCTTGAGACATCATAAAACCTTTCTGGAACAAATGTTTTCATAATGTGGTAATATGGATGAGATTTGAACTTTACAGATGAAGAAACCAAATCTAACTTATATAAGCAGATTGATTTTGCTCTAAAATGCCTATATACGACTAGTCAGAAAAATGAACACACAAATTATAATATTTCACATTCAACATAAAAATACTTTCTAAAATTATTTAAAGGATCTCAAACTTTGAGGAAGTAGAAGTTAAGATATCTATGATTGAGTATTTTTTACATTCTTTAAATTGCTTTTCTAGCACCTATGACAATTTTATTAACAAAGCACCGTAATTCTTATATGAATGGGGGAGAATTACAGTGAAGTGCAGATGTTTTTGATAATCTAAATGGGACGGGAAGAAGGTATGTAAATCATTTTTCCTCTTCCAATAAATACTACTAACTGTTTCCAGTTATATTTCTTACTCTATCCCTGAGACGAGAATATATCTTAAGGCAGTGGTGGGATTCAGCTGGTTCGCACCAGTTCGGCAGAAACGATAGCTAGTTTTTTGTTGCCCAGGCCCAAAATGGACTTCCGGAAGCAGCATCCACACAGAGAACTGGTTGTTCACATATTTGAATCCCACCACTGTCTTAAGGTAAGATAGAGTTCTCCAACCTGATATCTTTCAGATATTTTGGGATTAAAATTCTCAGAATGATAAGCCAGTAGTTGGTTAGGAATCATCAGAATTATAATCCCAAAACATCTGCGGCAGTCCCACTCTAGAGAAAAGGAGGCAGATCACAGTATACTAGTAATAGCCACTTAGATAGGCAGCAAATAAATTTAACAAATAAATAAATAATCTATTTATGGCACAATAAAAGGTAAAGGAATCCTTGTGGATTTTATTCCATTAGTCCTTGTTGACTATAGGGTTTGTTTTTTATTCATTTTATTATTTATGCCACAATAACTCTAATAATTTTACTATATTATTAGTATAGTACAGTACAGTACAGTATAATACGAGAAATCTCAGTGTGGATCTTTGTCAATAATACCCAAGTTCAGATTGTTTTCAATTTTTTTTTCTTACTTCCAAAATTTGTATCATCTGCAGAAGGATTTCAATTGTGACTCTATCCAATACTTCATTTTATTTTTTCTTTCCCTAAAACAGACATGTCAAACACAAGGCCCAGGGGCCAGATGCGGCCCGCGAAGTGGTTTCATATGGCCTGCGAAGCCATCCTGGAAACAGTGAGGGAACAGCCCCCATTGCCTTGGCCCTGGCCCAGGCCAGCCAGGAGCCAATGTACAATTTTGTGGTGGCCATCTTGGCACTTGCCCCAGTCCCACCCCCTTCTGCCAGAGACCCTCAGATCTGTCTCACTCCTGCCCAGGCCCCCATAGGCACCCTTGATGTGAATGATGTAGAACTGGCCACGCCCACCCAGTAGGCCACACCAACTCCATCCATGCCCATCCAGTAGGCTGCACCCACTCTGGCCACACCCACCCGCTCCTCCCAGGGCAACCGCAATGCTGATGCGGCCCTCAGTGAAATTGAGTTTGACACCGCTGGCCTAAAAGGTAACAGTTGCTGTGAGAATGCTACTTTTTAATGCGGTCAGTATTCACATTTAAACATTTAATCAAAAATGTGACACCTTCAAGTTTCAAGCAGGAAATAACTCCATTCAAAACAAATATAATGCATAATAGAATATATTTCTGGCTGTTTTGGTAGTAGTTCTGATGCACACACTAAGCCAGTATTCTAAGCGACCCTTATTGGGAGTGTAATAGAGTTGCCTTTGAAGAGGGTCTAGGCTCTACGGAGTTTCAGCTGGTACTACTAAATAGACTGCCTGAACTATGGTGTCTTTATGTGACAGATCATATTATACATATTAGTCTTTCTCCAAATAGGTAACCAGAAAAGCCTTGTCTAGGTGTTACTCAAATCTACTTCAAAATATTTTAACCTCCCTCAATTTTATTATTTTACATTTATTTATTTATTTGATTTATATAGCCACCCATTCCACACAAGTGACTCTAGAAGTCTTGCAAGATTAAAACACACAAATCCGTCACACATAATCCTCCCTTCCTTTACCCAGCCCCACCCCAGGGCTGACCCAAATGCCTGGGGAAACAGCCAGATCTTCCCTGTCTTACAAAAGGCTAGCAGAGCCAGGGCCATCTCTGGGGGTGGGGGGGGGGAATGTGTTTCACAGGGTAGGTGCTGCTACTGAGAAAGCATGATAAAATGCCATTATTTAATAGTAGACCCACATGCATGTTCCATGTTTATGTTCCATGAAGAAAAACAAAATGCAAAATTATTACTGTATATAGAAATGATCTTAAAATTTGTAAATTTTTTATTTTTATATTGCAAATTCTTGCTCCTGCTTCTCAGAAATGGAATTGAGTGACTCCCATTTGGGGCTAATATACACTTGGCGATATCTGCCATAGATGCATTTGATCTCCTTATAAAATTATCTATTCTGGAACTAACCTCATGAAAGAAAATGTCCTAATTTAACTATGAATTGTGTAAAAGATATTTTATTTTAGTGGTCCTTTATCTTTAATAATCTACTTATTTTCTTATTTTCTTTGACTCAGCAAACTGCACCTTTCCAACCTGTCCCAATCCTCCAAGATCTATTTGATGATACTCACATTTGTACTATAAAGTACAAACTGACACATTTCAACTTTGGCTACTTTGCTGAAACTAGCACCCTGTGACTATTTAAAAAAAAAAAATGGATTAGCTGCACATACTGTATAGTAGCTTTTAGGGACTTGAAGTAGTAAGTCTTGTGGTTGCCTAATAACTACAAATAGTGGTAAGTCCTCATTTAGCAACCACATTTGGTACCTGCAAGGAGATCTTCAAAGCAAAATGATTGCTAAGTGACACTGCAACCAGTCTTATGATCTTACTTCAGCTTTTCTTTACTCTTCAGGCCTGCAAGGTCCTAAATGAGAGGACTGTGGCCGCACAGTTACTTTTTTATTACTGTTGTAACTGTGGATGGTTGTTAAATAAGACAGTTACTAAATAGGATTACCTGTGTAGCTTCCTCCTTTCCTGGACAAAATAAATTAGACCCGATAGGTCTGGAAGTAACAATAACAAGGATACCTTGCAACTGTTTCACTTCTGAAACCAGATAATGGATAAATAACTTGGCTGCCTGTGTAATTTTTTATCTGGCAGCTTTCTATTATATTATGCAAAGCATATGAAAGAAAACATAACTTGGTATACAAACCATTTGAATAAAAACAATTAGCTATTAATTAATTTGAACCATTCTAAAGCTGCGGCCATACAAACTACAGTAGTTTTGTAACATAATCTTCAGTGCTAGCACAATTCACAAAGGCTTTATGGTTTGTTCATCTTGGTGGTTATTTAGTTTGGGTTTAGTGTAGCAGTGCTCAGGTTTGATAGATACTATAACCCACTAAAATGAGAAATGAATTTATGTGACTTCCCAATGAATAAAAGCAATGATTCAAAGACTGATTATCATATCTAGGGCACCATGAAAAAGGAGAAGAGAAAGACCCTCTTCTATGTTGCCCATGTTGCACACTTTGAGAAGCCCTGGCTTAATATATTATGTAAGCTCAAACTGTTGTAGCATTCACAGTATAATGTATGATTTATTGCACTGTGCTGACAATGGTTTGGAGTCAGTGAAACAAATAAACAACAAATAAATAAATCCCTTTCTGACTAAGAGTCTTTTCAATCGTGTAAATATCTAAAATTCCTGCACAGAGTAGAATTCATCCAAATTGACAAAATTTCCTTATGTCTTAATTACATATCATTTACATTCCAATGTATAGTAAATCAAACAATTATAAGAAATCAATGCATTGGGCAATGATGGGAACAGAGGCATAGAGCATCTGTGTTTGTATGCTGCTTAGAGTCGCCTTTGGTGAGATGGGCAAAAGAAGTGGGAAATAAAATAAAGATTCAGATCATTGGGAATTATTGGAGTAATAATCCAACATATCTGGAAGGTGCCAATTATTAGAAGGCTGTAAAATTCCATTCAGCAAATCTTCTTTTAATTCCTTCCCCTATATTTGTTTGCTATATTACTAAACTGTTGCCCCTTTCTAATCTTCTTTGATTCCTCTCTTCATTTTCTGTTTTCATTTCTAATTTTTCTTTTTTTAGACTTCTGTTTTTTAACTTATTTCCTAAGTATATACCATCATAAAGGGCCCAGCATATCAATGTTACTCTTCTCTTTGATTATAAATCAAATCAGTGATTCAGTATTTTAAGACTTCAACTCTACATCACCAAACCCATTAACACATTGGAATATAATAGATTATGTTCATATTAATGTCCTTATCAATGCTAGCTAGAGATTCTGTGTGTTCTCAATACTATCAGGGAACTTGATTAAGGAAAGTTGGAATGCAAGATTTTTAAGTAAATCAATAGACAGCTTAATTTCTGGTCAAATCCATATACACCAGCAACTGCTTCCAGAACGTCTAGCAAAATTAACAAATACAACTTTTGCTGACTTGCAGCAAGGATTTGCATACATGTCCAGGACTGCACTCCAAAAGTACAACTTCCATCAAACTAATTTTAAGTTCATTTGAAAGGCTTAGCATTTCCTCCTGTCCTTAAAATTCAAGACTCCCTCCTCCCCCACAAGGAAAGGGATTAAATTCTTCCCCCAGTCTGATAGGCTTTGACAGCCACAAAAAGAGCACTGGCAAAAGCCTTACTTTTTCTATTGCTGCTTTAGCAGATGCATTGGCTTCAATGGTTCTTACCATTTTTGTTTTATTTCATGAAACAGCAGGCATCATCACACATAAGACTTTATATATTAAAAAGTGAAATCAGCAAACTGCTTATAGATGAAGATAAATTACCAATAGCTTTAATGGGCCACTTTACATCTATCAGTAAGTTATTCAGAAGTATAAAGCAATATCCTTTATCGTTTGGAAACAGATGGAAGAGGGTGAAAACAAAAATCTAGCCCTAAACTTAAATCTTTGATGCAAGGTGGAGACCTGATTTAGAGAGGAACAGTGATTTTTGTTTTAAAGCCCTTCTCAACATTTACATTGATAAAACTCGGGGGGGGGGGAATGACTTGAGAAACAAAATATTATAGTGGAAATCATAAGATGTTGAAGCATGAAAATCCAAACATTATTAAGAATCTGACTTCCCCCCCTCCCCCCATATTAAATTCTGGGATAAGGATATATACTTACTGACATGTTTCTTCAGAGGCCAGAGAGGAAATCTGGAGATGTGGTAGCTACAAAAATAGCCCAGGCCTCCTGTGACAAAAAGAAGTCTATTAAAAATAGACTTGCCTAGCTAGCTATTTCCAGCTCTGGAACACTCACGGTCTGATGGTAAGAAATCTGGTCATTAGGCAGTGAATGGCTTTGCCTATAAGTGAAGAATATGCTAGAAGAGTAAACCTTTGGTGTCTTAAGGAGAAACCCCGCTTTTCCTGAAGGAGCAGCTGCTTTTGTTGACAATGCAATGGAAGGTTAAGCTATAAACACTATTTTAAATAGGAAAAGAACATGCTTCAGATCAAAGGCACTTACCAAAGACATATACCTTTTTGTACCAAAAAGTATTGGGAGGGGGAAATCTGCAAATTGCTGAATCTGGGGATTTTCCATTTCAATAAGACTATTCCAAAACAATAGCCTAGAGAACTAGCCAGTAATCAGCACTATCTGATTTAAGAGGAAGTGAAATAGATCATTGTTTTTCTCCCCCCCCCCAATAGTTGCTTCATGCCAAGTATACAGTATTATGATTGACAATTATCCTCTCCAAACTGCTGACAGTTTATGATATAGTTCACTTGGTTTACAAGAATCCACCAAGATTGCTGCTGTACTAAAAGTCTGAGAAAAGAGGTCATATTACATGTCTACATACAATGCTATCCTCAGAGTGTTTGGTAGGGAACATCTCTGTAAGTATTTGAATAATTTTCTTCTTAATGTTTCTACTTTGTGAGATGGACTAGGTTGAAAAAGACTAATTGATTCAAGGTTCACTAATGAATTGGGTGGAGGTCTAATTTTGTTCTCCACATTACTATGCTACAGTAGTGTCCAACCATGCTAATCATAGAAAATTGTTGTGCACATTTGCTAAGAAATAAGGCCCTTTGAAATATTCTTTTTAGTGTGTTAACTAGATTAATTGTCACTCAGCAATATGCAGCAGATGATTATTTAAAAAAAATACCTAGTGATTTTTGAAAGAAGGAAATTCTTGTGATCCTATCTTTTATGGTAAATCTCTTGAGCATTCCAAAGCCTACATGGTTGGTTCTTTTGTTCAAAATCCAAGGTAAATGATGTACAGGTAGTCCCCAACTTACAGCCATTCATTTAGTGACCATTCAAAGTTACAACGGCACTGAAAAAAGTGACTTATGACCGTTTTTCTCACTTACAACCGACCATTCCAGCATTCCCATGGTCATGTGATCAAAATTCAGATGCTTGGCAATATTTATGACGGTCACAGTGTCCCGGGGTCATGTGATCACTTTTGGCAACCTTCTGACAAGCAAAGTCAATGAGGAAGCCAGATTCATTAACCACCATGTTGCCAACTTAACTGCAGTGATTCACTTAACAGCTGTAGCAAGAAAGGTCGTAAAATGAGGCAAAACTCTCTCAACAACTGTCTTGCTTAGCAACAGAAATTTTGATCTCAATTGTGGTTGTAAATCAAGGATTACCTGTACTGATTTTGTATCACTATGTTCCAAATTTCTCAGATTTTATACCAAAAAATAAGCACACCTCTTTGAGTGACCAAATGAGCATTTTGTTACCTTCCTCTGGGAAAGCTGCAAAACATGATATAATCTTTATACAATCTGGCAATTTTTTTTTGTAAACATTGTAATATATATTTTAGATGTTAACTTGAAACTCTGATTTGAAATATTTCTAATCCTTTATCCATGGTATTATAAAACTTCTGATGAACACAATTATACAAAATTTTGGTTATACGTATATTGGAGATAAGACAATGTTGGTTTCAGAGTGTTAATGAGTTCCCAGAGAAGCTATGATAATTACTTTGGGGATGGGTATAAAGCCTGAGATTTATGTAACAAAATGGCAAAAAAATTGACCTGACTTCTGAAATGAAACCAAATTTTGATATCTGTTGGTTTATTAAAAATGGCAGGAAGCTTCAATTACAAGGTACAAGAAAGCAGCATTGCTAAGTTATGTAACTAGACATTTGAGAGAAAATGTTAGAAAAAATTAGCACAATGCTAGCATTGGCATTCTTTCTCCTCTTTAGCATTTATTGTGTGCAGTTCTGAATTATGTTGTACTCTTGTTATGTAACAGGAAGATACACCAAATAGAACCCATATTACTTGAACTGCTTTCATCCCAAGCTAAAGCAATTGCATGAAGCATCTTGTTAATTGGGCTAAATGGCACATTCACACATTAGTACTGAGAGTCCTTCACCACTAAATCTCTGCTCCAAAGCAGATATTAAAAAGTTCTATGAATAATCTTAAAATAGCTCCCCTTTCCCTACGCAGTACTAGAATAGTATTCTACATAAAGTAGCTTTTTGCTGGCTGAGGAAATGACCATAATATCACAAAGTAATAATTATGAAAAATGTCAAAGCAATATCAAACCTTTTGACAAAAATAATATTTTCAAGAGCTCAGGGGTACTTTGGATCTTTTGTGTTTTAATAAACATATTACATATGTTCATGCCAACTTTTGCCTCTAAATAGTTGCAAAAAGAGCTTTGGGCTGACTGGTAAGCCACCTTTGTGTTACTTCTTAAATAATAGTGAATTGCTTGAAATGGGTATATCTGCTTCCTAACAGAAACAGCAAAATTTCTAGCATAATAATTAAAATCCTGGGAACTCAGTTCATGATTAATTTCTAGCAAATCCAGTGAAGTTATGGAGATGGCAAGCAAGTCACTTCCCCAAGCATGTGATAAGGAAAAACATAATGGAAAATGAATGGGTTCACATATCATAATAAGCCATAGTTTCCTTAATCAAAATCAATTAAAGAAGTCACAACTAGCTAGATTCACACAATTCACTTAGCATTAAGTAAGGTTTTCAATGGATTTAGATGAGATGGTAAACCAAGAAGGAAACCAAGATATGGCTTAATATAGTATGTGAACTCAGATGATAAATGAAGAGCATTTATTTTGGGTGTAGAAGAGGGAATAGCATCTTTCTTCCAAAGTTCACATAACAACCTTTGATACATGCTTGTGGGGGGAATCTGAGAAACTCTCTGGTGAAAGCTGTCCAATATTCAAGTAATTAAGAACTCACTGTATTTACTATTGAATAACTATGTGGTAATTATTTCTACAAAGTGTTTTGTAGAATATTTTGAAAAATATTCTGACATGTAATTCCAAGCCAACAATCAAGACAAATAGACCACACAAGTTGACTTTTTTTTTTTAATATCTTGGTGAGATTTTGTAATTCTGCATACTCTTTTCAAAGAAGATTGAAGCAAAAGAATCCATTAAATTTCATGTTGTTCTTACAAAATCCCTTTCTATAACTTTCCACTGGACATAGATGCAGAACTTTGATCTCTATTTTTTTTTTTTTTTTATCTATTGTACCTGATTACATTTATTTCAGGGTGTCTTTCTCCCAATAGCTGATTTAGGATCTGAACTTTACCATTTCAATTTAAGGATATCCACCAGGTGAGATACTGAGAAGTCATGGGAGAGAAAAGAAAATGTTACCATAAAGAAGTACGATCTCTCTCTGTCCCTCCCCCCCACCATATGCCCCCTTCCCCAGTTTCTCTCCCCCGTTCCCCAGTTTCTTATTCCTAACAATCTCGGGCTTCTTCAAGGCAGTTAGCAGCTAGATTGGAGAATCGGGGAGGGGGAGTTGTTAAAAATTAACGTGTACTTTTCTTGCGCCGCATTAGGCTAACCTGGCTCTTGGCCTTCCATCAGAATTTATCCAAGCGTCTCCTTGCTCCGAGGCCTCGAAGCGGTGTGTGTGTGTGTGGGGGGGAAGATTCTTCCCTCCCCCCTTTCGCCGCCTTCACAGACTTGCAGGGTAGCCTGATCACGTGCTTGAGTTCTGTTTGTCTGGCCTTGGAGACTCTCGTCTACGCGTGGAGCCGGAGCTCGTTTTCCTATTTACATTCTGCCTGCCCTGGGCCTAAGCGGGAGGCCAAGCCGAGCTCACTTGCTTCTGTAGCATTTGCTTGTAGTTCCCCACGCCGGCTCCCTCCCCCAACCCTCGCCGCCTTTCGAGCCGTGGGAAGAAGGAGCGAGTGAAGAAGATAAAAGGGAGCTGCGTGCGGAACAAATGTGCTCGAGGGTGGCTTTCGGTGACGGAGCAGAACCTTGTAAATGAGAGATTTCCGTTCACAAGACTCCGCTTGCACGGTTCCTGTCCTGCCCTTGAACTGCCAAGCGAAAGCTTTGCGTCCTAACAAGAATGTAAATCAAATCGAGCCTGCCTGCCTGCCTGGCTCCGGGAGAAAGCGCGGCGGCGAACAACGCTTGGCTCGGTTGCTAAGTGCTGAGAAGTGGAAGGTTTTCTGCTCACAGCCACAGCCAAGCCGGTGGTCTGTTTGCCAGGCACTGTTTACTCGGCGCGCCTGCACAAATGCGCTCCCTGTTTACCAGGCAGAGCTGGCCGGAGGCTCTCGTTTTCACCAGAAGAAGTTGGGGAGGACTCCGCGAGATTGGCAGCGGTCCATGCTCAGCCACGATCTTTTAGATTAAGCCATTGTTCCCTCAAATTGCTCGGACTGTTTGGAATGGCTTGCCATACGTGTCGGCCAAAAAAAGGAACATAAAAATTCAAAAAAAGGGTCAGGATTCTACTCACTAGTACCACGGAGGGAAGGAACAAAGTGGGGCGTGCTCTTAACATGGAGCTGCTGAGGGCTCTTAAGAATCAAACCCTCTGACCCCCCCAAAGTGTTGCTGCATAATTCCAGCCAAGTTTGGGCAGGTAGGTAGATGTGAGTAAAAGAAAAAAGCACTCCACAGCAATTGAAAAATACTTTTCTTTAAAAGACTGAGGAGAGAGATGGTTGCTTTATTTAAGAGCTCACCCCACCTTCATTTGTTCTGTCCTTTTATGACCTCCGGTCAATCAGGTTTGCAGGACTATAACAGTAAAACCTGAAAACCTTGTTAAGCTGATGCAAGGCTGTGGCATGGAGGAGGGGAAGCTGCGAGTGAAGCTTTATCACACTATTTCCAGCTCTCAGAAGGAGAAGAAAAACATCTGTCTCTAGCTCACACACACCAGATCTCAGCCCTGATATTGAAAACACGTGCTGGCATTTTTCAGTACCGGCCTCAAATTCAGCCCTAAAGGGATCTCGACTCTATGAACTATCCCCCTACTTTATGAAATTAATTGGCTAGGAAAGGTGTTTTCAGACACCCATTTTACAGGTCCACTTGACATTTATTTGATAGTACCCATTTCTAAACAGTCCGGTAAAACTAAAGTGCTGTGACAGATCATTGTTGATGAATATGCAGGAACAAGGTTTATTCTATTTCTTATTCTTATGTAGAAGATCCCTTAGAGCTTTCTCCATATATGTGTTTGCCACCCAGTGTTTCTATGCTGCTGAATGTCAGTCATTATGTGCAACTAATAAACCAGAGGATCAAGCCAATTCATAATCTTGCTTGGCTGGCAATTCCACTTAGTCCTGCTTACCTGTCAAGGTGTTTTAAGCTGCAAGAGTGTCAGCAAGCAGGCTCAATTAGGACATGGCAGACATCCTTTCTGAGGAGGAAGCCAAAGCAAGCCCCTTAGAGAAGGAAATTAGCATCATCAGGCAAACCATTGGTCTATGTAGGTCATCCTTTTAGGTGCTGTGGCCTCAGGACCCCTGCACCCATTTTTTTTTAAAGAATCAAAATACCCACCATTCTGTCAGTCCCTACAGTAATCCGATTAACTCACTGCCTTTAAAGAAGAAAGTGCCTGGTGCCCCATAGCCTTCTGGAAAGCAGACAAAAGCCTAAAAGGCAAAACCTCCTGGGCAGACAACAGGAGGTGGAGGTTTGTTAATATTCAATCCGGAGCTAGATAACAGGTACTGAAAGGTGCTTCCCATTGTGGAAAATCACCATATACAGTGAAACTTGCCACTCAGAGTCCATTTGAAAAGCAAAAGCAATGAAGGATACAAAGCTTCCCGACTGGTGCCCTGGAGGGGAAGAGACAGGTTGGCTTCTCCCTGGGTTGGCTTTTGAGAATGTTTTCCATATGCTGACTGTGGATGATGGAAACTGTAAACTAGCACTTCTTAAGAGAATGGGGTTGAAAAAAGAATGTAAAATGGCAGAAATGATCTATTCTCTGATTCCTATCCTTTGCTTTTTCTCTATTCCAATATTACATTACCGCCTATTGGATTTCAAGTGCTCCAAAACCAGCACAATGGAGTATCAACGGAGTTCAAGAGGTTTTATGAGATAATTTCTGCCTAGACCACAGTCTTGATATTGGTGGTTCTTGTTGTGTATCTGGAGATGAAAGAGCAACTCTGTGCACAGAGTTCTTTGGCAGCACAAATCAATGATCTTAAAATGGACAAGTAGAGAGCTTCTAAGTTTCCCCAGCCATTTTCTAAAAACAAATAAAAGGCTAGCACCATTGCAAAATGTTAACAGGGCAAGCCAGTGACATCACTCATGGGCCTCTAGAGTGTAGCAGATCAGAGGTCAGAATTTTCTTGACCTGACCAGTCGCAAACAAACTGGTGGGACACTTCACTTTCATAAGATCACAAGGGAGCCTCCACTTAACCAACTATTAGACACAGCAGCAACAATAAGGAAATGGACAACAAACAAGAACACGGATCTTTACTTGCTGGGGATGTGTGGGGGTGGAGGAAGAAGCCGCATTGTAATGCAAGTACCTTAGCAAAAAAAAAAAAAAAATTGTAGAAATCTATACTTGAAAATTGGTTGCCTTCGCTCACATCAGTGTGTGTAAACCCTGAAATTTGCTGCCATTTCTATTTATGATCTGATTCTAGAGAAAGTCACTCATTGCCCCCCCCCGTCCCTGAAGGGAAATATCCCGTCTACTTTAAAGCAGATTGCAACAAAGACCTTGCAGGCGAGGCTGAGTGATGGCAATATTGTAATTTATACACCCACATTCGTAGAAACTCGCACACGCAAACAGGCAGACAGCTCTCGTAGTTCAATGTGAGGAACAATCTCCTGCATTTTGTTTGTGCTTCAACCACGGGACGTGTAGGAAGGAGACGGGAGGAATCGGCGAACCGCACGGATGGCTCCTTCGCTTTCTGAAGGGCCAAGAAAGAACCGGAGAGGCCTTCTCGCTTCTCTGCCCTAGCAGCATCCCGCGTCACGGCGTTCAATTAACAGCCTCTAAAATAGGCAACCGCCGCGCTGAAAGTCATTTGCAGGCTTCAGCCCCAAAACAAACCCTTCCAAATTCTTAGCACAACTCTCTGCGCTGTGTACACCGGAGCGGGGGGGATTCCTAGCGCCGCACGGGAGGGGGGAGGTAATTTGGAAGGGACTCAAAGAGCCGCTGGCTCTCTTTTTGCGGCCGAATTTCCAGGCAGTTAAACTTCTCCGACCACTGTGACATCTGCAGCGTTGCCAGTCGCAGAGAAACTCTTTCCCTTCCTCCCAGCCCAGCCCCCTCCATCCATCAGTAAAGGTGCTGGGCGGGGAGGAAGCAAAACAACAACAACATCAAAGAAGCAGAATGTGAGGGAGGGAAACGAGGGGAACACAGGGGCGAGAAAGAAGGGGAAGAGACCCGAAGGCACAGGCGGGCAACCCTATCGGGCTGGGAGTCCTCGCTTTCTCAAAGCGCCTCCCCTTTTCGGGAAGACCTGGGTTCAGGTCGGCCTTGACCGAAGGCACAAAAAGGTCGCAGTCCGAAGTGTAAATGGGACTCCGAAGGGAGAGAGGCGTGTGGCTCTGCGGATCCCCAAGCAGAGACTGGGAGGATCGATAACTAAATTAAGGGGACACTGGATCGTAGGTCTGGTTTTTTTTTCTTTCTTTCTTTCTTTCTTCCTGTTTGCCCCGGGAAACTGGAAGCCCAACTAGATCGGGGCGATTGCTTTGTCGGTGCCAGAAACTCGGTCAAACTCTCTGGCGCGGCTTCCTTCCTCCTCCCCGGGAGTCGGTGCAGCTCCTCCGCCCCTCCAAGCTCCTTGGCCTTCCCGCCCTGGTGGCTCCGGGGGCGGAGGGAGGAAATTGAGGGTGGGGAGCGGAGAGGACAGCCGCGAGGGAACTTTTCATTCCGCCCTTCTGGTTCGTTCACCCGTTCCCCTCCCCCACCACAAGCTGTCTGACAGGAAAATAAAAGGAAAGAAAAAAGAAAACAGGAAAGTTAACCAGCCAACGGAGGTGGGGGGAGGAGTGACAGGCGGAGCGGGATGAAGGAGAAAAGGCAGAGACCCACCGAGCTAATAATGGTGTCCGGCTGCATAAGGGGGAGCCTTGAAACGGGCCCGGCGAAGCTGCTGGGGAGGAAGTGGAAGCCGCGAGCGAAGGAGGCTGCTGGAGGGGAAGGGGGAGGGGAAGTGAGGCAGCGCCATCTTTTCGTGTCACACAGTCCCAGAGACTGACTGCCTCGTAGTCCAGGCGCCGCCGCCGCCGCCGCCGCCGCGCTCCGGCTTATCGCTCGTTCGCTGCCTTGCTTCTCGCCACTGGAAAGAGTGCCTTTGAGTAGCCTCATAGGGGGAGGCTCACAGCCCTGCAGTGTACAGAGCAGGGCAGACAAACACTCCCCCCCCCCACAGCCTCCCGCACCGGCCCCCCTTTCGCTCCGAGCTTTAGTCGCTGGCGTGGGGCAGCAACCAAGCCGACTCCGGGGCTTCCCTTCTCGTGCGCTGGCCCTTGACTTGGTGAGTCAGCGCTGTTGCAAAGAAGGCAGGCCGCGTCAGGCCTAGGGCTACGTACGGTGACTTCGCCTCCGTGCGCAATAACAGACGGGCATGTGGGCACACTGGTTTTCCTCTTCTCCCCCCCCCCCGTCCATTGCTCCCGCTCCCTCGCCAAGGCCTCCATTTGGCTCCTTTGGGGTCTCTCATCCTCCGGCGCCAGAAACCTGGGGCTTGAGGCCCGGAGATGCCAAGAGTAGCCAAGTGGCAACTTCCCGCCCGAGAGAGAGAGAGAGAGAGAGAGAGGTCTCTCTTCGCGCCCTTTTTGCCTCGCCTTTCTGTGCCTGCGAAGAGAACCCAGCTGCCCGCGGTGCACCGCTAAAGCCTGGCTGAGTTGGCGTTGGCGGCCGGGTGTTTCATTCTTATTCTTGTGGCTTTTCCTTCTCACTTTCTGCCCATCCCCCACCTTGGGCTGGCCTGGTTGGCAGAGGTTGCCGGCTCGCAGCCCTCTTTCCACCCTCCGGGCAGGGTTCGCTGCAACCTCTTGCTCTGGGGCCTGTGCCAAGGAAGGCTCGGCAGCGCCGGCTCGCTCTGCAAAGAGCTGCTCGCTTTCCTCGCCACACAGGTCGTAACTAAGTCACGGGCGGTATCGCAGCTTGCCTCGGAAGATTTTATCTGATTTTCTCTTCCCCCACCCCCGCCATTCCCGGTAGCTTTATCTCAGCTCCGTTTAAAGGAGGAAAGGCGCTTTTCACTGGGCTTGGCAGGGTCGCCTGCCTGCCGGCTCTGAGCCGTTGCTGAATGGCGCTTCGCGCTGCAAAGGTTTGCGTGCTCCGGCTCTGCCCTTCCTTGGCACCGCGAAGCTCCTTTGGGCCTGGCGTGCTGGAGAGCGCGAAGCACAGGCAGGGAGCCCGCTGGCATCCAAAGCGGGGGTTCTCTCGGCAGCGGCGCCCGGGGAAGCCTACCCTACTAGTCTGCGCTCGCTCAGTCTGGTAGCTCCGGCTACCACACAGGAGCAACCGCACCGCCGTCTCTCGGACCTGCTGATGCGAGAGAGAGCGAGGAGGGAAAGAGAGCGGGAGCAGCGCTTGGTGAAGGGGGATTTGATGGGTGGTTGGCTTGGAGAGGGGAGGGGAGGGAGGCTGGCTGCGCCTGGTAATGAGGGATATGAGGGAGAGGGAAGGGTGGGCTGTTTGCGCCTGAGAAGGGGAGGGCCGCCTGCCATTAGGGATGGGAAATCTGAAGGGGGGTGGATGAGCCTGAGGGTTTTTTTTTGTTTTGTTTTTTTGTTTTTAAACCAAGCGTCTTTGCGGGGGGGGGGTGGTCTGTTTCATCCCGGAGAGGCGGGAGGCGTGCCTTCTGTTTCTAATAAAGGAAGCGACTTTTCTCGAAGGAAAAGGGAAGGTGCTGCTGGTGGGGGAATTGCTTAAGATGATGGAGGTGTTAGTTGCCTTCTGGGGAGGTGTGTGCGTGTGTGCGCACTGTAGTCTTAGAAATGCAAAGAATGGCAACACCTAGGCAAAGGGATGGAGGAAGGGAAGAGCATTTCGGTGCTTTGGGGAGGGCATGTTAAAAGCAGCGGCCCCAGGGAAGGTTGGATTTTCTGCTGATTGTTGGCCGCCCCTCTGGGAAAAGAATTAATAGTTTGCAGATTGATGCTTGCTGCTCCTCAGGAAAAAAAAAAGGGTTTTTCTGGAGAGACATTGGCTGCCCTCGTAATAAAAGGGTGTGTGCACGTTTTAGCTACCTGCCCTAGGGAAACGAGGCTGGCGAAGACTCTTTGTGTGCTGCGTGCGCTGCTGGATGGCCCCGTTGGAAGAGAGGCAGCCACCGGCGACGACGGGAATGTTTGGGAGAGACTTGTCAGAGGGGATTTGATGTGCGTTGTGCTGGGGGAGGTGTCGCGCTGCGCTTCGCCTGTTGGGATTTCAGAGGGGAGGTAGGAGAGTCATCTCCTGTTTCTAATAAAGGAATCGGCTTTTATGGAAGGATAAACGCAGGCAAGCGCAAACGTGTGGGCTGCAGCCGCCGAACTTCGTTAGCTGCTAATCTTGCTGCCAAGATGAAAACCTTTTCCGATCCTTTGAAAGAGGATCGAAGCCTGACGTGCCCGGTGGCCGCGGCAGCCTCAGAAACACACGCTCTCTCTCGTGTCCCGTACCTAGAACATCTCTCGTGCCTTTCCAACTTCTGAGGGGGTCAAATAAGCAAAGGGAAACAACGAGGCGAGGCCCCTCCTAGCAGTTCCGGCTTTGGGGGATTGCCAAGTTTTCTTTGACTAAGGGGAGCTCTGGGGATGACTCATCACGGGCCGTGGTGAGGTTTGTAAGGGTTTTCTTTTCTTGTCACCTGCAGTTGCTGACCCTGTTGGCTCCTAGGAAATAGCTGCGACAGGCGGCTTCTGAGAAGGCCTAGCTAGATCCCCGATCTGGTGGGAAATTCCCCTGTTCTTACCAAGAGGAAGCCTCCCAGGGCCAAGACAGCTGAGGAGCTGAGAGGGGGAGGGAGATTATCTTCCAGCCTGTGGCCTTGAAATCCAGATATTTGCAGTCCCTTTTGGGGATGAATGCCAGTGTGCCTGAAGTCTTTTCCGGTGAGTCTTTTTTTAAACTTCAGGCAGAACTGTTTGGTTCTCTGCTGCTGTAAGCTGCTGTGTCAGCAGTTCCAACATGGGATTAAAAAAATAACTTTCATGCTGCTAAACGCTTTTAAGATGTATCTCTAGGCAAGCTACAGTCTGGCCAATAGATCTAAGTAGTACATTCCATGGACTTTCCAGTGGAATACCCACCAATGGAGTACTACAATGATATCAGAGTCATTGTGGCTCTGATAGGCAAGCTTACTGAAACCACTCTGTCCAGGTGCTTAAGTATGAATTTAAGACACATTTACTTGGACATAGATCACATTTAATATATCAATATTTTCTTTAGTGTCAACATGTCTCTATGTTTGGCTGAGAAAGGTGTTCCATTTCTGATATCTCTTTGTTATTTGGTTTTCTATACATTAGATGAATCTAGTTTCATCTAAAGGTTTTTGGCAGGGTGCATCTCTCAGTTGTCTTACTTGCAAATGTGCTGAGTTCAGAATTTCAGTTATTATGCAGCTTGCAAGACTGAAGTGTTTGACTCCATTTCATAGAGGAGGGGTTGTTCCCAGTAAGGGCATTGTTGCAATAGGCTGTAATCCACAAATGCTTCTACTGCTATATATATTTGCCTGGAAGTGCTGCATTTTTACTTGCCTCTCATACTTGTAACTTATAGAATTTCAAAGGAAATACATGTGATTATATAAAATTTAGAAACTCTGGAACATTTTGAAGTAAGGAATGCCATATCTGACACAATCTTTGGTGTCCATGCTTACATGACACACTGAACCACAAAATAGTCAAACACATTTAGCTAGCATGCACTTCACTTGATATTTAAGAGCATTCCACAAACTCAGAAAGTTGAACTAACTCTATTTAACAATAAAGATTGTGAGCTGATTTTTCCTGCATAGGGTGATGGGGTATAGTTCTCAGTAGCCTTATAAATTGCCCGAGAGAGTTGCAGTCTATCTGGAACCATTGTGACAGCTCTGAAAACTGATGAAGTGATATCATTGGCTCCACTGAGAAACATTTTCCACAATAGGTGATCAGGCAACAGGAAAACATCTGTTTAATCCATGATGAGTACACAAGTCATTTATCTGTACTGCAATTTTGCAGTTATAAAATAAATAATAAATCTGCATGAAACCAACCAGCCTGGTAGTGCCTGTCATTCACAGCCAGTAGAGCCTTGGTTTTGGAAGTTAGGAATAATGGGAGTTGCTATTTACAGGGCACTAGGTTGGGAAAACCTACTCTATAATTACTATCTTTTGAAGCAAGCAAGCAAGGATTGTATACATTTATGTGTATGTCTTGGTCCCTGCTCATAGTTGCAACCACAGGAGTGTAGAATTAGAACCCAAGGGGGCTTTTCTTCAAAAACAATTTAGTCTCATCTAGCAAGTTAGTCAAGTTGAAAAGAGCCTCAGGGTGGACCTCTGAGCTTTGCTGCAGTTATTCCTCTTGCTTTGTAGCAAGCTTAGGTTTTCTCCTCTATCCTCTGCTTAAAATTTAAGCAAACAAGTATAAGTGAATAGTTGCTGTTCTTTGATGAGTGGCCTATCAAACCCCAGCTACCCCAACAAAGATGAAGGAAAATAAAGAGGACTCCTTAGTTTGTGTTTCCATCTTTCTTTTGCAAGTGGTCCTGACAACAGAATTACCTGCCTGGTTCCAGTGAAGCCATCATATATGTGAGACGAGTAGCTATATAAATTGAACAAAGGTATAAATAAGCCACTAAGACAGCTACCCTTCCCCACTTTTTTTGCTGCTGCTGTACTAGGAGAGAGGCTAATAGGCCTCTCTGTGTTGCACAGATGCAGAGCCTGGATTAACAAATCCTTGTAATTTCATTACCATCTAACATGAGCAATTGGAGTTTGTAATAGACTGGGCATTTGGCTTGGGTGGCATAAGTCAGGCAAAAAGAAGTTAGCAGATTTAAAGTGTCTCCCCCACATTTTTGAGACCAATGCTTTCCTGAAAAACAGGAATGTTTGTAAACTGATCTGTTAAATTTATAGTTCTAATTAAATCAGATAAAAACTGAGTTTAGCTGTGCATGCACCTAGACCAGGGGTGTCAAACTCAATTTCATTGAGGGCTGCATTAGCATAGCGGTTGTCCTGGGGGGGTAGGTGTGGCCAGGGTGGGCATGGCTGGAGTGGGTGTGGCCTACTGGGTGGGTATGGCCAGCTCTACATCATTCACATAAAGGGTGCTGTGGGGGTCTGGGCAGGAGTGGGACAGATCTGAGGGTCTCTGGCAGAAGGGGGTGGGACCAGGGCAAGAGCCAAGACATGGTCCACTGGAAGAGCCTGCCGAAACCCCTCCTCCGGAGCCTATCAAGCTGGATATGTGAAGTAGGCGAGGCCATTTGCTGGCCACTTCCAGGCGATGGTTCATTTTT